TTCAAAAACAGCAGCAGCTTTCAGCCTGTCACCATGATGCAAACATGAAATATCAGACATACAGTAGTAGTTCTTTACAGGTTTTTTATTCGACTGCGCTGCTTTTCCATTGTTTTTTCTGTGTAAACATGGATCTGTTTGACTGTTGCGCTCGCGTCTCATGAAACGGCTTTCTAAAAACACTGCGCTCAAGTTAAAAGAAGTTCACTCCCATCATCTTGCATGTTTTTCCTATTCCACTGCCCGTGTCGCATCTTCGTCAACACAAAAGCGCATTCTGTGTGAATGACGCTTAGCGTTATATTCATGGTCCTTCACAGAGCACGTCACACGTGAGCGGTTGGATCGTTTTTTTTCTTTACTGTTATCACCGGTATATTGTCAAAGAAATATTACCAAATGTTAGAATTAGACACTATTGAAAATCGCGATTCCTTGATTTCTAAAAAATAAAATCGTGGCAAAACTAAATTCGAATGAATCGATAAAATCGGGAAAATCGCCCAGCCAGAAAGAAACTGCATGTCAAATCGTATATATGCATTTATTCCAGTAATGATATGGAGAAAACTACAGTACCTTGCCAGAGATAAGAAGAGAGAAACGTATATCTGATTCCCACCAAGGAATGTCAATCAGGGAAATCTGATCAGATTATGATTTACATTCTGATTTTAATGCGATGTCATGTTTGTAATACCAGTTTCACTCACGTTGGGGTGAATTCTAGAGCTCACCTCCTTAAATCACACAATCAAGCTTTTCATGTGAGGTTTTTGCCACTGCAAAGGATTTAGAGACAGAAATGAAAGTAAATGAGAAGCCCCTCTCAGGGACCCAATTCAGTCTCACACCAATTTTTTTAAATACTGAAAAGTTTGATGAGAAATCTGCTCAAATAAGTCATCTAGCGACACATTTCTTCCTCTCACGTGAAGATTCTAATCCACAGTGCAATCATTAATTACACCATTTCTTCATCTGCCATGACTGTATAGCTTCAATCTGCATGCTCAGACTGTAAGATACTTGAATTGTTGCTCATATAATTGTTGCGCTTGTTATAACGTCGTAGGTCACATGATAACGTCAACATGGCGGATGAAGTCCGGATCACATTCATTTTTTTTTTTTTTATTTAAGATATAAAATTCACAGGGGATACAGTCAAAGCAATAAAATACATACACAACCAGAATACAAAACAATAAATACATAAAGAATAATACTAATGAAATATAAACATATATATATATAAATAAATTAAAATAAAATTTACTTGAATGAAAAATTACACATAAAATGTCAACTTCAAAGAATACTCAGGAGGTAACCCTTACATCAAAGTCATTATTTTTTCCATCAATACAGTAGTTTTAGCAGCTTTCTTATTAAGTGATGAGCAGAGAGATTCATAAAATAATTTCAAATCAATACAAAAAATCCTAAAATTGGGCATACAATCAGTAACTTTACATCTCTGAAGATAAAATAGGCCACAAAGAGTTAACAGTTTTAAGATAGGTGAAATAGAATTAATAACCCATTCATACACTCTAGGTGAGGTACCGGATCGCATTCATACTCAACGAGATTAGGCTGTAGAGTAGTACTCTTTTAGCGCTCGTTAAGAAAGCACTTATTGAAATTAAGTACTCATTGAGTATGAGGTTTCGAACGCAAGCCTATATTTAGGTTCATGTGGACATGCTGTGGTGTTGTAGGATAGTTATTTACTTAAAAAGCACTCATGAAATGTAAATTCATGTCACATTTTCTTGGTTAAATAAACCTTACTAATACTAACATTAATCTCATCAAGTTAGTATTTTTAAGCATTTTACATTTATTCCAAAATATTAACTCAAGGCAGTAACTATTTAAACAATATTTTTTATTTGTGAACTTATGTTCAACTATTCTTTTTAATAGGTAACTTTATTTATTAATTTTTTCCGGATCATCAAAGCTCTGAAAAAATTGGTCACAGAGATTCACTTTAAATTTCACCAAACTGATTACTCATTAAAAACTCCCACAGATCATAGATCATCTTTTTTTTTTTAATGTAAGTATATTTAAGTGTGTGAGTCGTTTACTTAAAATCAGTCTTCCCATTAAAGCCATTCGTCACAAATATCTACATTTATTTATATTTTTATGCTTTCAACAGTTTTTCTTACCATTATTTTTATCTGGAAGAATTACCAGTACATTATTTATATTCTGTTATCCATTAGTATAAAAATGAACTGATCAACAGTGAAGCTCCTCCCATCACCAGTGAAGCTCCTCCCATCATCGGTGAAGCTCCTCCCACTGCAGTTCAGCAATAAATACTGGAATATCTCCATCAGTTCAGAAGTGCAGACGAGCATCAGAGCATCAGGAAGAGCTGAGATCTGATCAAAGACTGAGTTTATTAAAGAGGACAGAGAGAAGATGAGAGATCCAGAGCCCTGCAGAATCAAACACACTGAAGATACTGAAGAACTAACAGGTTGGTGTTTATTCTTCATTCACGACGCTGAAGAACATTCATGTTAGAAAGATAAACAGTTTGTACTCATCTTATAGTTTCATTTTTAGTTTTCAACAAATGGTCAGTAATTTTAAAAGAGAAGCTGCTAATATTCCTGCTGTCTGTCATTCATGTTAATCAAACAACAAAAAGAGAGAAAATCTTTTTAATGCGTCTATATAGTTTTATTAATCTTTATTTCCCTTCTAGTCATTTTAGCACATTGTTAAACTAAATGAAAATGCTAAATATTGCCTTGGCAACTTACCAAAACAAAATAAATGTAATGTCTTTTTTTTATTTTATTTTTTATGGTTTTAGTTTTAGATAACTATAATAACCCTGCTGTAAAAACTACTGTTAATGAACTATAGCCAAATAATTTTATCATTTGCATCATACTGATTTTGCTGCCATTGAGGCCCAACAGTAGGAGAGTTATGGCTTACTATTTTAATTTATATTTAACTCAAAATATGGGCTGTAGAACCTGCCTGATTGGCCCGTTTTTGTAAATCTTAGCCTTCATTCTGTCTCGTCCTGAGACGTCTCCATAATCTCCAACTATCCACAAGGTGTAGTTTTTAATTATCGAGCAGGAGCCGAAGAACGAGCATGTGCCACACTGATTAAAGGAGTCACATTCTGCCAAAAAAATCAGAGAAGAAAAATAACTAAGACATATATTTAAATCCGCCACAACTCGCAATGTACTACTACTTCACTGTTGCAATGTGCATAATATGCAAGAGTAATTATTGCATGATTAGTGCAGTTATTGTTACTTGGACAAAAGTTTTAATTTATAAATTTATATGACATTTGCGAGTTGAAATGATTAAAAAAAGCCTTTTATATGCAGCTCATGACATTTTTATGGAAGCCTGTTTCTGCTACAAGATAAATTAAGGCAATTGTCACAATTCTGACTCAGCTGTAAATTCTGAATTTAAATCTTGCAATTCTGTTTTGTTGTTTCTGCCACATAATAAATAATAAAAGGTAACTGCGAATGTTTCATCTCACAATTCTTACTTTTTCTCGAGTTTATACAGTCTCACATTCACTACTTTTTTTCTCAGAATTGCACGTTTGTATCAATTTTTTCTTAGAATTGTAACTTTATATCTTGCAATTATGAGTTTATATCTCGCAATTCTAAGTTTATATCTTGTAATTTTGATTTACGAGTTTATATTCCACATCCACAGACCACATTGCTAAAACTGCTTTCTAAAAATAGCTTTCTATTTTTTCTATTCCTTCTACTTGTTTTTCTTTGTGTGTGTGTATATGTATGTATGTATGTATGTATGTATATATATACGACCGGTATGGGGTTTTTGGGGCCGATACCGATATTAGGGAGTAAAAAAAGGCTGATACCGATATATCGGCCGATATTCTTTGTGTATATTATAGTACAGTACCAGTCAAAATTTGGACACTTTCCCATTCGAGGGTCCACACATTTGACTGTTACTATATATAGAATACAGTATATACATAAACAGAATATATATAGAGAAAGTGTTGGCTGGTGTCACAATCTCGCGAACGCACCGGTGGATCTCTTCAGCTCGAGGAGCCCTCTCGAACGCCGCCCCCCGGGATCGCTTGATTCACCGCGCCGTTACGGAGATATGGCCGTTCAAAGTTTCAATGGTTTTCCATAAACTTAAGCTTTAAAGCGTTTCATCCAGGTCGCCAGTAGCAAACAATGGAGCGCGCTCTGCTGGACAAACTACGTAATTACACAATTTCAAGCATTTTATTTGCGTTATATGTTCTGTATATGTATATAGCTTGCTTTTCTCTCAAAGTCAGCCGCCTCGTCTTCATCCTGGTTTGTGTGTGTCGTCATCGAATGCAAGACTCAGAATGCAGAAGCAATGGATATAACTGATACGACACATTCCCCGCTTTTAATATCTGAAGAAATAATGCAACAGAGCACAGCTGATCACTTAGAAAGGCCTGTGAGGCAACTGTTCCAACACTTATGCTCACATCAGATAGAGGGATGAAACTCTAAAAGTGCTGAATTTCTTATGTGTTGAATCACCCAATAATAAAATGTGTCATTCTGTAGTTTTGTCTCATACTCATCTTTCAATCATATCTACAGATTTCTTGACTCTAGAGAAAACAGAGCAATTTTGTCTTTACTGTTCCAATACTTATGGAGGGCACTGTATTTAATAGCTCTCACTACAGAAATATGGGATTTGTGCCTATAATGTTTAGTATCTGATCGTTCAATTAATTTATAAAAATGCACCAGAATTATCATAATATTGTATAGCAGTCATCTACTTTCCGCTATTACATTAGTGCTGACTTTCATATTTCTATCTTTTGAATTATTTTTTTATTTACTGAAAATGAAATTAAACTTTTTTCTTTTATTTCAGAGCTGATGGAAGAGAGCGAGGAGAGTGAAGAACTGAGTGAAGTGGAGGAGAAACATCATGATAAACCTGGAGAAAAACCTTTGAGTCGCTCGAAGACTAAAAATACATTTTTAAAGAAAAGAAGAGGCAAGAAATCTTTCACCTGCACTCAGTGTGGAAAGAGTTTCCCATTCAAGCAAAGTCTTGAGCGTCACATGAGAGTTCACTCTGGAGAGAAACCGTTCACTTGTGATCAGTGCGGGAAGAGCTTCACACAAAAAGTACACCTTAAATATCACATGAGGATCCACACTGGAGAGAAACCGTATGCATGCAATCAGTGCGGGAAGAGCTTCACACAAAAAATAACCCTTAAAAATCACATGAGGATCCACACAAGAGAGAAGCCGCATGCATGCGATCAGTGCGGGAAGAGCTTCACGCAATCAATAAACCTTAAAAATCACATGAAAATCCACACGGGAGAGAAACCGTTCATGTGTGACCAGTGTGAAAAAAGTTTCACACACAAACAATATCTTAAAAATCACATGAGGATCCACACTGGAGGGAAGGCATATGCATGTGATCAGTGCGGCAAAACATTTCTTCGGTCATCAAACCTGAAGGAACACCTGACAGTTCATACGAAGGAGAAGCCGCATTCATGTTCTGTGTGTGCAAAGAGTTTTTCACAGCTGAGCAATTTAAAAGTACATCAGAAAATACATGCTGATGTGAGAGATTATATGTGCTTTGAGTGTGGGAAAACTTTTATTTCAGTATACAGATTAAACCTGCACCAGAGGATCCACACTGGAGAAAAACCTCACAAGTGTTCATACTGTGACAAGAGTTTCAGTGTGTCATCAAATCTAAAAAGACATGAGAAGATCCACAGCGGAGAGAAGCCGCACACTTGTGATCAGTGCGGGAAGAGTTTCACTTTTAAAAGTCACCTGAAGATACACATGAAGATCCATGCAGTGCAGAAACCAGATCACCACAGTCTGAGATCACGGTCAGTAGTTCATGTTTATGTGCTGAGAGACAAGGTGTCTTCTGTGGAAGAGCTGTGACGAGCGACAGGCCATTTTGTTGGATGCCAGGTATCTGCTTCAAAAGTCTCACATTGTTATGAGGTATTGAGTTGTAATTAACTCTTTCCCCGTCAGCGTTTTAAAAAATGTTGCCAGCCACCGCCAGCATTTTTGAGCATTTAACCTTTTAGGCGCCAGGGTTTTTTGGAAAAATGCTGGGCTTGAAATTTCAAATTTCAAAAGCTTGTGGCTTGAAAGGGCTTAAAGATAGAGATCTACTGTAAATTAGAAAAATGTTGGGCATGAACGAAAGTTTATGTGGGGTGTAAATATACTCATCTAATTTGCATATTATGATGTCATCAGGGGGCGGCCCTCTTGAATGTCATAATATTCTGGAAATAATAGATATTGAATTTATGTTTGAACTTATTTGCATGTTTCTTTTCATTCCAAATTATCAGAAAAGAGAAAACCAATAATAAAACAGGAGAAAGTACTAAATTATTACTATACTATATTTTAGTAAAACGCATGTGAACAGTAGCCTACTTTTTGATCAGTTCATCAGTAATATTCAGGAGATAATAGATATTGCCCTGCCACCCCCATCCCCATTGGGCAAAGGGTCGAAATGATCACTTGTTTGTGCTTCGTGAACACTCGCGCCTTGCACGGCGGCACCATTGCGCTGCAAAGACGTACCGGGAGAAGCGCGATTATTAGAGAACATGCAATACATCAAAATAAAATTGTCTAAAAATAGACAATTTTAAGAGTCTGTAGAGTTTTAAACAAAAAAAAATCTGTTTTATTCTGGCTTCATTCGGACTTACTCCCTTACCTTTTCTTAAATTGGCCTACCCAGTCATACAAGTAATACAAAGAATACAAAATATTTCTGAAAAATAAAATATTTGCCATATGCAATTCATATGTTGTACAATATTCTTCTGTTACATCACACTTATATTCATACTGTCATTACATGCCACCGTTTAATGGGTAAATTAATTTATCAAAGAGAGAAATTCAATAAACACCAACACACACTGTTAGGTTTTTATTTGTAACATGAATCGATTCGTACGACGGAGCTTCTTTCATTGGCTTTTGGCTGCTTTATTTTTTACTTGCCACCAGATAGCGCTGTTTCTGATACTCTCGAAGCATTGAATCTTTTCCCGAAACAGTCAGAGGAAAGTCTTAAAAGGCATCATTTAACCACCACTAAACAAACAATAATTAACATCATATTATTTGTGAGGTGTGCGGTCCCTAAACTGTCCGGGTTTTGTTCGACAGCATCATATTACTAGTATTATGTTAACTAGAAATTCAATTTTTGAAATTTGTGAATCAATGCGAATCGCTAGAAGACTGAATCGCAATTCATATTTCTCTGAATCTGAAATATTTATCGTTAATCTCACATCATGTCTATTAAGAATTAAATGTTATTTTTTGGCAGAACTACCAGAAATGAATTGAAAGCAGAAGGAGAGAACAGAGAGAAGACGAGAGATCCAGAACCTGCAGAATTGAAACATCATGGTACTTAGGAACAAACAGGTTGGTGTTTATTCTCCATTCCTCATTCATCATGCTGAAGAAGCCTGTGTTGTGGAGTAAACGAGGTGATTGCTTACAGATTACATGTCAAGCCTGCGCCATCTAGAGTTTCATGACCAAACTAGTGATTTGATGGGATTGAAATGAGTCTTGCACTCATTAGTGATCTTGACTTTGGGCTTCACTTTCTTTCTCATTTGAAAACTAACATGATTTAATGTTTCTTTTAGACCTGAGAAAGGAAAACAAGAAGCAAAAAAAAATCTGGCCCCTGCCCTCAGTGTAAACAAGATACCCATATAAATCAATTCTGAAGATTCACATGTGAGTTCACCCCGGGAAGAAGCCCTTCACCTGTGGTCAATGCGGGAAGAGATTAACAAGTAAATGAAACCTCAAGAATCACATGAGGATCCACACCGGAGAGAAACATTACAGCTGTGATCAACGCGGGACGAGTTTCACTCAAGCTTTTGTTCTGAAATCACATCCGCCTTCTCATTCTGAAGAAATTATTTTCGTTCGGCTCCAAGAATTTTAATTTCAGTGCATCCCTAGAAATTTCTATTACGATTGTGATTGTTCTCAGTGTCATGGTGTCACGTGTAGGTTCCCGTTGAGTTCCTGTTTTCCTTATTTGGTCCTTCCTGTTCTTGTCCCAATGTAGTTTGATTTGTTCCAGGTGTGTCTCATTATTAGTTATCCTCCTCACCTGTCTGCCCCTCGTTATCTGCCCTATTTAGTTCTAGCCTGTTCTGAGTCTCTTTGTTTGGCATTGTGTTTGTCAACTCCTCGTGCTACGTGTGATTCCCTGAAAAAAAGAATTAAACTCCTTTGTTTTGTACTCCTCGTTCCTCGCTCCGTGCTCCTCACAGTAGAGACCTGTGACAGAATTTCAGACCGAAAGTGACAGTAAGCGGCGCCCCTTCTACCCGTGTTTGTTTGACGTTTTTTGAAAAGTTACTTTGTTTTTTCCCCCGTTCGTTTCTCCCCGTTCATATGGAGGAACGAGCGAGGTTCTTTGCCTTGGATCATACGAGCCCTGACCCGATTGTTTTCGCGTGGGCGTTCGTGCCATTTGCCCTCGCCAGCTCCCTCGAGGGAGAACTCCCTCGTGACGCTGTTCCGGATCGGGATAACCTACCATCGTCCCGCGGAGCTCCCAGACACCAACCTCGGCTGGAAGGAGGCAGTCATCCGGTGTCTGGAGAGCTCCCGATCCAGGACCCATCTGCCGGCCGTTCCCGAGTCAAGTAAGACGGCCGTTCCTCAGGCAAGCCCGCCATGCGTTCATGACGCTCCAGTGTCGGCTCCAGCCCTATAGCTCGCTCCAGTGTCTGCTCCAGTCCCAATACTCACTCCAGTGCCAGCTCCTCGAAAGCGCTTTTTTGAGCCTGCTCCTCCACAGCACCCTCCAATGCCAGCACCACGTAAGCGCTACCCTGATCCCCAGTTCAGCCCAGGGAGGGCTCCTGGTCCCGAGTCAAGCCCAGGGAGGGCTCCTGGTCCCGAGTCAAGCCCAGTGTCGGCTCCAGCCCCAGAGCTCGCTCCCGTGCCCGCTCCTCCAGAGCGCCCCCCAGGATTCCTAGATTTCCCCAAGAAAATTGGGGGGGGGGGGCCATAGGTGTGTCTCATTATTAGTTATCCTCCTCACCTGTCTGCTCCTCGTTATCTGCCCTATTTAGTTCTAGTCTGTTCGGAGTCTCTTTGTCTGGAATTGTGTTTGTCAACTTCTTGTGCTACGTGTGATTCCCTGAAAAACAAGAATTAAAATCCTTTGTTTTGTACTCCTGGTCTCCTCGCTCCGTGCTCCTCACAGTAGCGACCCGTGACACATGGTTAATGGCTGCTGCACAGATCAAAATTTAAAAAATTGATGTATTTTGTTTTCAGATTCTCGCTACCCCCTGAGGGTGTTTACATTTGCATTTATGCATTTGGCAAACGTTTTATCCAAAGAAATGTTCCCAGCATTCAAGGTGTAAATTACTATCTGTTCAAGCATTATGACTTCACTGATAAAATGCCTGGTCTTGGCATTGTGAGTTCCATGCTCCACTGCTTGGGCTTCACCAAAGTGCCTGCACACGCACACACACACAAAAGGAATTTGTCATTTGTCGCACAACAACACATAATAATGAATAATATTTTTGAGGTTTTAAGGTGATGAGAGACGAGTGAAGAGACAAAAAATCCACTGAAGTGAGGCAGTTTAAATGCCGTGGAGGTCACACCTCTCGGGGGTCAAAGAACCAATGGTGACTTGCACTTCTGGAGGGAAAGTTTACGACTCTGTCTCCAAACATGGTAACTTGGTAAATACTGAAAAGTTTGATAGGAAATCTGCTCAAATAAGTCATCTAGCGACACATTTCTTCCTCTCGCGTGAAGATTCTAATCCACAGTGCAATCATTAATTACACCATTTCTTCATCTGCCATGACTGTATAACTTCAATCTGCATGCTCAGACTGTAAGATACTTGAATTGTCACTCATATAATTGTTGCGCTTGTTATAACGTCGTAGGTCACATGATAACGTCAACATGGCGGATGAAGTCCGGATCGCATTCATTTTTTTTTTTAAATTGAAGATATAACATTCACAGGGGATACAGTCAAAGCAATAAAATACATACACAACCAGAATACAAAACAATAAATACATAAAGAATAATAAAAATGAAATATAAACAGAAAAAAAACAAATAAATAAAAATTAATTAATTAAAATAAAAAATAACTTGAATTAAAAATTACACATAAAATGTCAACTTCAAAGAATACACAGGAGGTAACCCTTACATCAAAGTCAATATTTATCATCCAGCTCCTGATTGCCAAATTAAAAATAGTGCATTAATTCTCAAAACTAAAAAGTTTGTTGTAAGCTGAGAAAACAAGCCAAGACATTTCTTTCCAAAAATCCTTTGCATACTCACATTCAAAAAATAAGTGTGATTTTGTTTCCAAATTAGAATTACAGAAGGTGCATTGTGAAGAGACGCCCAACTTAAATGTTGAGAGTAAAGAATTACAGGGATAGTACATATGAAGAATCTTATAGTAAAGTTCTTTCATCTTGTTAGGTAACAGAAACTTGTTAATACCGGCCCATATTTTAACAGTAGAAAGAAAAGGGTCATTTATTTTCCACTTATAAAATGCTTTAGGATGACAACTAAACTTCTTAATAAGGATTTTTCTAATCCAGAAATTGTTACATTTAACATTAGAAAGCTCCAGACCTCCAATACAAATTTTTGGCACTTCACATTTTGAAGATCTGTAACAATTTGCCCTAACCAAATGTAACAGTTTAGGTGAAATAGAATTAATAACCCATTCATACACTCTAGGTGAGGTACTGGATCGCATTCATACTCAACGAGATTAGACTGTAGAGTAGTACTCTTTTAGCGCTCGTTAAGAAAGCACTTATTGAAATTAAGTACCTACTCATTGAGTATGAGGTTTCGAACGCAAGCCTATATTTAGGTTCATGTGGACATGCTGTGGTGTTGTAGGATGGTTATTTACTTAAAACATCCATAATACAAAAACACTAATGAAACTTAACCATGTCATATTGTGAGAAATAACAGTGTTATCATTCCATCGAGTAGTTTTATAAACTTTTATCACATATACTGTGTGTGTTCTGAAATGAGGAGGCAAAGCACTCATGAAATGTAAATTCATGTCACATTTTCTTGGTTAAATAAACCTTACTAATACTAACATTATTCTCATCAAGTTAGTATTTTTAAGCATTTTACATTTATTCCAAAATATTAACTCAAGGCAGTAACTATTTAAACAATATTTTGTATTTGTGAACTTATGTTCAACTATTCTTTTTAATAGGTAACTTTATTTATTTATTTTTTCCGGATCATCAAAGCTCTGTAAAATATGGTCACAGAGATTCACTTTAAATTTCACCAAACTGATTACTCATTAAAAACTCCCACAGATCATAGATCATCTTTTTTTTTTTAATGTAAGTATATTTAAGTGTGTGAGTCGTTTACTTAAAATCAGTCTTCCCATTAAAGCCATTCTATTGTTCATTCAGACTGATTCTGAATGCGCACAAACACAAGCTGATGATCCTGAATGTCTTGTTCGGAGTTGAAAGCAGAAGGAGAGAACAGAGAGAAGACGAGAGATCCAGAACCTGCAGAATTGAAACATCATGGTACTTAGGAACAAACAGGTTGGTGTTTATTCTCCATTCCTCATTCATCATGCTGAAGAAGCCTGTGTTGTGGAGTAAACGAGGTGATTGCTTACAGATTACATGTCAAGCCTGCGCCATCTAGAGTTTCATGACCAAACTAGTGATTTGATGGGATTGAAATGAGTCTTGCACTCATTAGTGATCTTGACTTTGGGCTTCACTTTCTTTCTCATTTGAAAACTAACATGATTTAATGTTTCTTTTAGACCTGAGAAAGGAAAACAAGAAGCAAAAAAAAAATCTGTCCCCTACCCTCAGTGTAAAAAAGATGCCCATATAAATCAAGTCTGAAGATTCACATGTGAGTTCACACCGGGAAGAAGCCCTTCACCTGTGGTCAATGCGGGAAGAGATTAACAAGTAAACGAAACCTCAAGAATCACATGAGGATCCACACCGGAGAGAAACATTACAGCTGTGATCAATGCGGGACGAGTTTCACTCAAGCTTTTGTTCTGAAATCACATCTGCCTTCTCATTCTGAAGAAATTAATTTCGTTCGGCTTCGGCCAAGAATTTTAATTTCAGTGCATCCCTAGAAATTTCTATTACGATTGTGATTGTTCGCAGTGTCATGGTGTCATGTGTAGGTTCCCGTTGAGTTCCTGTTTTCCTTATTTGGTCCTTCCTGTTCCTGTCCCAATGTAGTTTGATTTGTTCCAGGTGTGTATCACTATTAGTTATCCTCCTCACCTGTCTGCCCCTCGTTATCTGCCCTATTTAGTTCTAGCCTGTTCTGAGTCTCTTTGTCTGGAGTTGTGTTTGTCAACTCCTTGTGCTACGTGGTATTCCCTGAAAAAAAGAATTAAACTCCTTTGTTTTGTACTCCTGGTCTCCTCGTTCCTCGCTCCGTGCTCCTCACAGTAGTGACCCGTGACACATGGTTAATGGCTGCTGCACAGATCAAAAATAAAAATTTAAAAAATTGATGTATTTTGTTATTTCAGATTCTCGCTACCCCCTGAGGCTGTTTACATTTGCATTTATGCATTTGGCAGACGTTTTATCCAAAGAAATGTTCACAGCATTCAAGGTGTAAATTACTATCTGT